CGTCGGAAGCATTCCGTCGGAATTTAACCTTTTTCTAGTAGTGTTGAAGGACAATATCTATCTCCGTATCATAAACTGGGACAATATCACCTTTGAAAGTCTTCTTAAGATATTGGTCAATGATCTGTTGAACCTTTTGTTGACCATGTTGGAGAAGACCTTGGTTATCAATTAGGGAAGAAATAGTATTCTTCTTTTGGCGACACTTGACTTTTGAAAAAAGGAGTTTAAAAGAGCACTCTCCTTTAAGGATCCAATTCTTTTTACAACATTGCCTCCAGAATTGCAGTTGTAACAATATATTTTCCTTCGAATTAACTATATTGGACAAATAGTTAAAAGCATCTGAAATAGTATGAATTGCCTCCCCTTCTATAGAAAGATCCGTAGTGAAATTCTTCCAGTCGACTCCCCAAAATTTCTTGTTATTGAGGCACCAGTTCCTAATTAAGATCCTAACAGAGACTAATTTCTTGGAGAGAGAGAACATTGGCGATCCATTGTTGTGTCTTTGCCAAGTCTGAATAACAAAGTCATGAATATGTTGAAAATTGAGGCACCAATTGTCCAATTGATAAGGCCTATTTGAGTGCTGTCGAAAAGGAGTATCCTCAAAGATAATCGCTGCATGATCCAAAACAAGAATAGGTTGATTGAGTAACCTACTTTTAGGGTAGTTTGTAAACCAATCCGAGGTCATATAAGATCGATCCAACCGTTGGAGAATAAGATGGTCATCCTCCCTATTGTTAGACCAAGTATAGGGGGGGCCTTTGAATGGTGTCGAGAGAAGATTTGATTTTAGACGAAAATCAATAAACGAATCCCACCCTAGAGGGCACATTTGAACCACCTATCCTATCATAATGGTGTTCAATTAGAAAAATATCTCCAATAATCAAAGTATTAGGTGCTATGGCTAATAAATCTAAAATTAAACCCCAAACTTGAGGTTTATGATCTTCTAAAATAGGAGCACCATAAATAAACATCACACAGTTATCTATACAAGACATTAATCATGTATTACTATACAATTACTAAATCTTACTTTTTTTTAGAAGTTATTTTGGTGGCAATTTATTTTAGGAAGGAGGATGAAACAATTTAGTCAACAATATTCCTTTGTAAGATCGAGTTGGGTAACATTTCATATTTATTGTTTTTAGAATTATTATATTATGAAGTTAAATAAAATAAATTGAGATCTTTCAAAATAAATAATAAATACATTGAGAAAGGTATATATTTGGAAAAAAAATTGGTAAATCTTGTAACAGAGTTAATAATGAAGACTTTATTATTTTTTTATTTTGCAAATAATATATTAGATTTACTTATTCAAGCTTGTAAATATTCCCTTTCATCAAATATATATTGGGAATCTGTTTTACTATTGTGTGTTCATGGGCACACGTTAGAATTGATCCAACAATATCTTATATTTTAATAGTATTAATAAATAAAAGATGGTCAAAGTGAAGTTACGTATATAGTATAAAAAAATCAAAATATTTCGAGTGATATGAGACAGATGAAGAATCCACGGAAGTATTACGAATAATAAATTTATTGGTAGATAAAGTTCCATAACTACAATGAAGTGTAGAAGTGCAAAAGTGTGGGTATTGAAAATTTGAAACAATTTTGAAGTAATAATAAAAATAAAAAACAAGAAGGCAAACAAAGTACACTATGATACAGTTTTTTACCTATTCTCTTTTTGTTTTTAGGTACACACGGGTTAGACATCACACTAAACCAAAAACATACATAGATCATAGTAATCTAAGCTAGCAATAGAGATGGGCATGATGGGTCGGGTTGGCTAGAAGGTCAATCAGGTATGACACTAAAATGGCTCAATTCAACATAGGGCCCAACACAAACCCGACATGGTATGAGATTGAGGCACGTCAGTGGATCATGAGCCGTGTATAAACATCATTTTCAAGATTTGACATAAATCTAGCACAATTTAATAAAAATGTAAAAAGGATGTCGGTTGGTATGGTACGGTATGTGGGATCGGACAACGCGTGCATGGGCTCTGATTTTGAAAGATCGGCACGAGCCTTACACGGTACGACTATTTCTATGCCCATATAGGCTTGATCTGCTTAAGCACAAGACACGCTGACACAACAAGATCATGTCCACCTTAATTATTTAACATGAAAGATCCCATGAATGTTGGAGAAAAGCTGAAGAAAATGCCCATTCCCAAAATATCCCTGGTGAAAGTTTATCTCACAAATTTAGTTGTGAGATATAATCTTTACCATTAAACTTGACGGTTACAACTTTTGATTTGTTGTCTAAACTTAGAAAACCACAAAATAAATTTTTGGACGAAGGAATACCAAAATTGAGTCTTTCCCTTTCATTTTCTTTTCACTTTTTGACATAATAGCTACATATAGTAGTGACATAGGGTTGAAGCATGGGTCTCTTTCGGTGGCTCAATAAAGGCTACCAAAATTTAGGCCATCAATTTCGTTTTGGACCACACTAAACATGATTAATTTCACAATTATATCCCAATTTTAGCGGTTACTCTTTTCCTCATTACAATAATAATAAGCACGATATATTACAATCAACTTCAATGTCAATCTTTTTAGTAAATCGTTCTCAACCAAACTCACCCCAATATGAAGTATAAAAGTTAAAAAAAATGTCTACACCATACAATTTATAGAATTGCCGTGTTCATAAGATGTGCTCTTCTTAGTGCATTAATTAAGTCATCCTTTTCAAAGTGCATGAAATTTCGTTCTATTAATCGGTAACCTAAGTGTCCCATGACTCCCAACCAATGAACTAATAAAGAACCTATGATTGTGATTAGTCCGTTGATTATTTAGACCACAAAATTCCTACTGTTTTTTTTAACAGCAATTAAGCATAATAATTACTCCGTATCTTTTTTTTTTTAAATGGTAATAATATATGTAGCATATAGTGCTACAAATAAATATCTTTCCTAATTTGATAATAATTTAGGAATGTATGATAAAATTACGCGTAAATTAGTGTAATTAATGTGATATCGGTTGTTTTTTTTCATTTATAACTCCTTATATATTTATATGTAGCCCTACGGGTTATGTATATGATTTTCTATTTTTTTATTATCAACTCACTTTGTACTACTACTTCTGTGTTCTTTAATTACAACGCAATGTTTCTTATTTTATATATGTCCATGCGTATTTTCAATGATATACATATCTCTAATTAGGTAAAAATTATACAAATCTAAGGGTCTATTTTTTTCATATTATTAAGTTCAGATAATTTTAGGTAAAATACAATAATATAAAATAATTTTTAGAGGTAATAAGTTTTGACAATTCAAATAAAATAAGTTCAGAATAAATAAAATTAAATAAAATAATATTAGCTAAAATTAAATAAAATAATTTGAGATGAAATAAAATAAAATAAAATTAGTTCATATAATTTTAAATATAATAAAATAAAATACAGAGTTTTATTTTATGAAAGCATAAAATTGAGATGAATCTAACAGATCCCACATTGCATGACAATATTTTAACTTAAGTTCTTTTTTGTTACTTAAATATTACATCATAGTGGGAGAGAATTATGCTTCACAACCTTAAATATAATATATTAAATCAAAAGAGTTAATATTGTGAAAATATTTATGTATCTAAACAAATCTAGATAGACCTCATATGTCTGTAGCTTTCTTATGTAAAAAGAAAAAAAAGAGTGAGATTTAGTATGTTGTGTCTATGCAGTTTGATCACAAATGCCTTATTTCAATTTTCATATTTAATTATTCAGATTCCTCAAGACTAAATAACGCCTCAATTTTATTTGAGTTCTCCAGTTTTGACTTTGATCAGTTCATTTATCAATGCAGAATTATGATAAATGGGTAATGTTTAGTGTTTTTTTTTTTTTTCATTTTTTTTTATTTTTTTTTATTTTTTGACATGAGCTTAGCAGAACAACCAAACTAAGAAAAACTAAATGTAAAAATTAAAAGAGGATAAATTACTGTTTGTTGTTGTAGCAAGAACATGGGTTCTTTCCACTGAATCACGATCCAACGTGTGGCTGCTGCACCAATCAAAACACTGCTGATGCATCGAATACGAGTAACAACCCAGCTTATGGAGATATCTGAAACCTGTAAATCTCATACACTGGACCACTAAAGTAGAGCTGACCGCATGCAACAACCTTGTGACCGCCCACTGCAATCCAGCTAGGCACGCATTCATCTCTGCTTGTAGAGCTGAGTAAGCAAGCCCAAAAGAAGCGCCTCCTAACTAAACTTGCTCCCCGTACTCTCCAAATTTTGGGCACCACCTAGAGGTGATCAACTATGGCTCGGCCTGAAAATAGGGTGGGTTTAGACAAGAAAAAAAAAAACAATTTTAGTTCAAAACCCGAACTCGCCCCGAAAAAAGGCCGAATAGCCCGTTTTGATCCGATTACCCTCCTACTTATTTGCGGATTTGGGCACGAGATATAATGTTAAGGCCGATTTTATAATCACCTCTAGCACCACCCTATCCCCGACCTGTGAGTGTGTTTATTCCATAAACCATTGATCAGAATAACCGTCGGTACTCGTGAGTTCTCAGAGTCTGACTCTTGAAGATAGCACGCATAAACCCCCACGGGTAATCCGAGACCTGTTTCGGAGGGTGAAGGGATCTAAGATGACCCTCCTCCCTTGCTGAAAAATCCCCTATTGTCGAAGTCCTTCTGAAATAATCGCTGATGTTGACAAATTTACGGCGCCCTGTTTTGAGTGTATGTCTTAGGACAATGTCTTATTTGATAATGACCCAATTTTGATACCCAACGACCCAAATACCTTACTAAGGTACCAACCAAAGTCCAATATCCATAATCCAATTTATTGTTTATATCACTCAAAAATCAAAACCAAATCAAAACAGAAGCCCATAAGATTAATGGGTTAAGTCGGTTACAAATTCCGACCCGAACCCACACTCTAAAAGATCTAAACTTAAAACCCCGCAACGTCTCTCTACTTTCTTCTTTTTCTATCTCCTTTGGCTGACTGCAGCCACCAAAAACCCTTTTTCCCCAAATCAATCGAATTCTAGGGTTTATCGACAAAATTCACAACCATGGTTCGTTTCTTTCTCTCTCTCCTCCATTAATTTGATGATGTTTACTGCAATTTGGGTGCTTCGATTTCATCAGTTTTATGACAAAACTTCAATTTTGCATTGATTTTATGTGAATTTCTGTTTTTGGCAGCCTCAAGGAGATTACATTGAGCTTCACAGGAAGAGAAATGGATACCGTCTCGATTACTTCGAGCGTAAGCGTAAGAAGGAGGCGCGTGAAGTCCATACACGCTCTAAAAAAGCCCAAAATGTTAGTCTAAATTCGTCTGCATTTTTGTTTATTTTTGAATGATTTATTTTTCATTTGTTTTGATTTTCATAATCTTGTTTCAATGGAAAAATTTCAGACTTTGGGTATTAAGGGTAAGATGCTTGCTAAGAAGAGATATGCAGAGAAAGCTCAGATGAAGAAAACGTAAGAATTATGTTTTGATTCCTCAATGTTTAGTATGTTATTAGTTAGCTTCATGAGATAGATGTTATGTTATTTGGATAAATAAAATTATGATCAGGTGAATGCCCTTAATGAGTTAATGGTAACTACTGAGTATAAAACACTCTTTTAGTTGTGGGTTTCGGGTTTATAATGATAGGATGGAAGGCATAGGCGCGTAGCCAGTGGCCCAGTGCATACTTTTGCTGCTAATAGTGTTTATCCACATTGATATTCTCGATCAAGCTTAGGGCCTAAGATTGGTGCTCTGGAGTTTTGGTAATTTTGTCAGCTTTACGGAGATGTACAAGATACTTATGTTTGTCTTGAGAGAATTGGTTATTTGAGATTGTGAACATGTAAGGTCTTATAATGATAGTGCCATCCTGATTTCATTGACTTTGTTAAAAACGGGAAAAGGTTTGTTTAATCTATAGTCTTAACCCAGGAGGTAATTGAATAATTAATGCTATTTTTTTTGGTTTGATATGTAAGGATCAAATATCGGGGAAGAAACCTGAATTGTATTGTTATTTGTTAAGAGATTGGAGAGTTTCTAAATATTTAATGAAGCATGTGAAAGTTAACTACTCTAAGTATCCATTTGTTGCATTATTTCTGATAACAGAAACGATATTGGGTATTGGTTGCTCATATTTTGATTGCCCCTCCCTCCTCTCTCTTCAATAATATATGTATTTTTTTTTCCTGTGTTGAGGTGTTTTATAACTATTGTTTCTGTGATTGTTTGTAACTTGTGCAAATCAACAGACTTAAGATGCATGACGAAACACCAAGTAGGCGCAAGGTGGATGAAGATGTTCAGGAAGGAGCAATTCCTGCATATTTGCTTGATCGTGAGCAAACAGCAAGGGCTAAGGTGGGTGTATTATGCTAGTTTCATTTCGAGACAGCTTACCTTTGCTCAACAAGTGCTAATTAATATTCTCAGAAAATTTTTCAACTGATATGATATATAATACTTTGCATGTTTTGATACGATTTTTGTATTGAGGGTAGAATTAAGCAGTCTGTGGTCAGAGCTATATGTCTTGTTTGAGAACTCTGCTCTTATCTTTCACCCTCATGACCTGGTCACTTGATATCATGGAACTGTAGAAATTTTGTTTATTGTTTAACTTGTTTTCCCCACAACCTGGGCTAAAAGCAAATATGCTATAGTGTACCTTTTGCTCACGATTTACTTGAAAATTTGTAAAATTTTAAGATTTTTGTAAATTGGTAAACAGTCTGGGCTAGAATCCATCATAGAATGCATTCAAGAACTAGTGCTATTGGGCTACTGTCTTGAAGATCTTCCTACCTAGATTTTCCTTAATTTCCAGGAATCTAGAAGAGCTGTAAACAGAGGTTAAACTTTTGCTACTGTTGCATGCTGAATTCTGTTGTAGTATATAACAGGCGGTGTTGCTTAGTCGAGAATTTTCAATTAGTTCCTGTAATAAATCCTCTTCTATAGTCTTACGGACATGGAATATGTTGCTTCTTCCTTTGGGGATTCACTAGAGGAGGAAGATAAGGGAAATTTCTCAAATGAGCCCCATGAGACTTGATTTCTAGACAACAGGGATCTGAGGTGGGGAGCAATGCCACTATTCTTCCAACTCAACCTCTATAAAGAATTTATAAATTGCTGTTTCTTTATTAGCCCTGCCCATAACCATATGATTATGGAAGAATGAAAATTTCTAGAATTCTGTTTTAAGGCTTTAGCTATGTATTAGATATAGGAGCCAAAGCTAGCCTACTTTGGTACTTGTTCACCAATATCAATCTTCTTGGTTTTTATTTTTGGGATTGGAGGTCTGAATGCTGGAAGAGGGCTCAATCATAGCAAGCATGCAACACATAGAGTTGGGTGTACCTTTTGGGTATACATTATGTCCTTGGAATTGAGTTTTCTTTTTATTGAGGGTTTGATTTTGAAAGATTACATACAACGAGGTGTTAGGCTGTTAGCAATCTTTGGTTTGAGAAAGGGGTCTCTAGGAAGTTTTAACCTAATTCAGATTATTTACTAGCTACGGAGTATTTTGATACTGAAGTATTGGAATTTCTTAATCTAACTTTTGGTTGCTAAAACTTGTTTGTGTCATGTTCAGCTTTAACGTCTTATATATTTTTGTTTGACTATTTTTTTTTTTTCTTGTTGAATAGATTCTGAGCAACACAATCAAGCAAAAGAGAAAAGATAAAAATGCAAAATGGGCGGTTCCATTACCCAAGGTAAAGTTTTTTTGTTTTCTTGTCTAATCATCCTCTATATTCTACTTCTGAGATTTATCTACTGTGAGGAACCTGTCAAATGCCAAAGCAGTTTTTTTATCTATGGCTATAACTATTTATAGTAATAGCTAGGATTTCAACCTTTTTTCTTTCCGGTTTCTATATGTCCAATTCAAGGTTTTATTTATTTATTTATTTATTTATTTACTAGTTTAGTTCCCGCGCGATGCATGGTTTTAAACATCGTGAGATTTGTTTATAAAACGGAGAAAGAAAGTTTTCTACTCCGTAATTTTTTTTTGTATACATGGTAAGTAATTTCTACAGTAGCATAATACTCGTAAAATATACAAAAAAAAAAAAAGAAAAAAAAATCACAATGAACACTTTTGAACATTGAAATATTAACATACCTGTAAAGAAAAAAGATTCGGTAGGGACAAAGGGTAAAGCATATAAACGGTTTATTAGATAAACAAAGGTAAAAGTTAAAAAAATAAAATAAAAAATAAAAACTAATGACATCATCATAGCAAATTGGCGGGAAAAATATTCATGTGAGAGTGACTTGTACAATTTGGATGAGGGATGATGTCAGCATGTTTTTTTAGTATTAGTTAATAGATTTATTTTTTTGTTTATTTATTTTTATTATTATTAGGAAAATTTGTCAAAAAAAATCTTTTAAAAGCACCATTTTGCGGAAAAAAACCTTTTAAAAGTTTTTTGGCAAAAAAAAAAAATCCGATTTTTAGCATTTTGGCTTAAGAAAACCCAAATGTGAATTTTTTTTGTTAAAGACAACCTAGTGCCTCTAATTCACTTCATTAACCTCTAATGTCTTTTAATTACCCTCTAACTCTCACTTAACTATTTAATAATTAAGTTAATTTATAAAAAAAAAAAAAACCACCCCTACCACCAGCCAGCAGCCACCCCCCTCCCTTTCCCCCTCCCCTGACAGCAATTAGGCTGCGCTGCCGCACCATTCACCACCTTCGCACCTCCATCGCAGCAGCCTCCCCTGCTCCATCTCCAGCCCAACAATACCTCGCCACCATCTCTGCCCGTAGCTCCCTCTCTTCTCACTTAAACACCAGCAACACAGCAGCCGCACAATACTGCCACCACCTCACGCCAGCAACAGCGCAGCAGCAATTCCTCCCCCAACCAACCCAGCAGCCCAGTTCGCCACCTAACCCAGCTCTGCTCGCGCCACAATCGACCACAATTCGCTATAATGAAGGAATTAGGGTTTTGAAGGTTTAACAATGGTGGAAAAAGGGGAGGGTTGTCCGAGTTAGGGTTTTGGGAATTCCGGTCGAGTGGGTGTGGCTGGGGTGGTTTTTGTGGTTGAGGTGGTGGGGTAGGTAGGTTGTCAGGGTTAGGGTTTAGGGAGGGGGTCGGCCGATGGTGGAGGTGGGTCGCCGAGGGTTCAGGCCGTTTGGAGGTGGTGTGTAGGTGAGTTGTCGGGGTTTAGGGAGGGGGGAGGGTTGCGGTGGAGTTGGGTTGCCGGTGGTGGGAGCTGCTGAGGGAGGGGGTCGGCCGATGGTGGAGGTGGGTCGCCGAGGGTTCAGGCTGTTTGGTGGTGGGTAGGTGAGTTGTCGGGGTTTAGGGAGGGGGGAGGGTTGCGGTGGAGTTGGGTTGCCGGTGGTGGGAGCTGCTGCTAGGGGGAGGGGAAAGGGAGGAGGGTGGCTGGGCTGGTGGTTAGAGTGGTGGTGGTGGGTTTTTTTGTTTTTTTTTTTTTTTTTTTTGTTTTTAATTTATAAATTAATTTAATTATTAAATAGTTAAGTGAGAGTTAGAGAGTAATTAAGTGAATTAGTGGTAATAGGTTTCTTTGAACAAAAAATTCTTAACTTTGGGTTTTTTTTTTTTTTACGATAAAGCTTTTAAAAGGTTTTTTTTGGCAAAATGGTGCATTTAAAAGATATTTTTTGACAAATTTTCCTTTTATTATTATTATTATTATTATTATTATTATTATTATTATTATTATTATTAAAAAAAAAAATTATGTTAGGTTGTTGATTGTCAAATCTTTTTCTTTTCTTTTCTTTTCACTAGATTTTACTCTCTATCCTAATATCAGACTGGGGTTTGAGATTGCCATTATGTATTTTTATATGAAAAAAAGAACGTTTTCAACCATCTTTCTTTCTCTCGCTCTCTTTCTCTGATCTCTAGTGGTTGAAGTAAAGTTGGGGAATATGGTAGACTTGCATTCTCAGTAGGTCCTAACTTTGTTTTAAAATTTCTGTTCCTCAGGTTAGACCAGTTGCTGAAGATGAAATGTTTAAAGTTATAAGGTCCGGGAAAAGGAAGAGTAAGTATTTATGAAGTGCTTTCATATATTTGTTAGATTCCATTGGTTTAACCATTTGCTGTGTGTATGAAGGATTTTTTCTAGTAAGGTAGTAACGAAGTGGTGTTATGTTGAATTTTAGCAGTTCTATTGGTAGTAAGTGTAACAATTTTTTCTCTTACAGCCAAGCAATGGAAGAGAATGATAACAAAAGCTACATTTGTTGGTCCCTCGTTCACTAGGAAACCACCAAAGTATGAACGATTTATCCGTCCATCAGGATTGCGTTTCACCAAGGCTAATGTCACTCATCCTGAATTAAAATGTTCATTTAATCTTGAGATCATTGGAGTGAAGAAGAACCCTAATGGTCCGATGTACAGTTCACTTGGTGTTATGACCAAGGGTACTATCATTGAGGTACAGTTCACTTGCTGCATAATTTTTAGGTACTTACTGGCTTACTGCTAATGCATTTTGCTAATTCGTTTGCTTTGTAAAATCTCTAGGTCAATGTGAGTGAACTTGGTCTGGTCACACCAGCTGGGAAAGTAGTATGGGGTAAGTGATACGTTCAAGTTTATTATTTTGGAGGATAATTTGATGAAATCTTCTTGTTGACTACTACCTTGTGTTTCCTTCTCTTTTCTCACCTTAATCGTGCTTTTGTGGGTGGTTTCAGGGAAGTATGCTCAAGTGACAAATGACCCTGAGAATGATGGCTGTATAAATGCTGTTTTGCTAGTTTAATCAGGTTGTTAGGTCTCGGGTCGATGAAATCACCTGTAATTTTGATAAAATATCACTATTAAGTGGATGCTCAATGTTAAAGAAAGACACATTTATGATTTAGTTTTTTCTTTGGTTCTATATGCTCTCTAATCACGAGTCCTAAACTGTATCGTTTTACATGGATTAGGTCAAATTAACCAGGTTAACTATATTTTAATATTATTCGTCGCTTGTTTTGTTAAGTTGAAATTATGATCGAATGAATATGTCTTGCCTTTTGATCTAGTTGGCCGCGTATGCTTCAGGTGATGTGTACCTTTATAAAACATGAAAATTTAAAATGTTAAATATAACAATCTAAATTTTTGCCGTTTCGTTAAAAATAGTTTCACCTTTCTATAAGATCTCTTATTAAGGGATAGTATTATACGGAGTAGTAATTTATATCATAGATGATGAGTGGCAACAGTACTAGTAATACTTCGTAGTGTTGTACCTTAATGCTAATACAACCCTTACAATTTTTCAAACTATACTAATAAATTACTACACAATTTTATTACTCAGTACCATTGGCGCTTAATTATAAAGTCTTGGTTGGCACAATGCATTTCTTTAATCCGTACAGGGCAGCAATACCTACATGAAAAATAAAACCATAAGAGATTCAGTATCAATACAAAAACATGCAAATTTACGAGGGATTGAATTCATTATCAACAACCTATGATAATTATATTCTGAGACAATACCTTACATGTGCAGTAATAGCTGGCAAAATAATGGGAGACTTTGTAACGACTGTTATTGATTTTTGGAACAAATTATATTAAAAAAAAAAAAAAAAAAAAAAAATCTTAGAAAGAAGGGATGTAGTGGTGACTTAGGAATGATACATAGGCAAGCAAAGCAGAAAATTAGAATGAGGGATAAACATAGGAAAGAAGTTTATGATGATTTTTAGTAGTTCAAAGAATTGCTTTTATTATTTGGATACATAATCTAAAGCACATGTAGAGAAATACTTAAAATTCATAAACCAACAAATTAAAATCGTACTTACCATCCATATGCTTTTATATGGGTCTAGCGCATTGTCTTTTTTGCTTTCTCCTTCCCCCTCTCCTTCCCCTTGCATTCTTATCTTCCTTGCGCAGGATATTCATGAACAGTTTATGAAGATGCTTGCAATACCATTCTCTATATCTCTTGATGTAGAGAAGATGCCCAATGAAGATCGTAATCCCAACAGGAAACCCGACTTCAGCACCCATCAACATCCACTCCATTTCGTTCTTTGTACTCCAATCTGATCCTTCTGAAGAGGTAGGTGGAGTTGCCCTCGAATCTGGCTCTGTCAATGGCGGGCCGTACGATGCTTGGTTGCCTTTATACGAAGATGCATCGAATGACTGAAGTTAAGTGCTTGTTGGGATCATTCCTGTTAGTTTGTTGAAGGATAGGTTTAGATAGCTAAGGAAATTTAAGTTTCCAAGCTCTCCAGGTATCTTCCCAGTTAAGGCCTTACAAGAAAGATCCAACGATTCAACCTGACTCAAATTCCTAAATGATAATGGAATATGGCCCCAAAATGAGTTGTGAGAAAGGTTGAGCACTACAAGAGCATTTAGATTTCCCAGCTCTCTTGGAAGCTCTCCATGGAAAGCATTGTTTGAGAAGTCAATGCTAGTGAAAGTTATCAGGATGTATTGCAACGCATAGGAAAGACCTTTGAAGTTGATTGTCACAAAATTTTGATAGTATGTAAAGGATACATTACTTTGCAGATAGCTTGAGTCTGTTTGCACTTTAGTTGTGCTAGCCATCATTGATGTCCACTTAAGAATCATCGGTGCTGTTAGTTCACTTTCAAAATAATTGGAAGCTAAATTCACAATTTGAAGTTGTGGCCAAATTGAGGGGCTCTCTAGGCACACCATTGTTCCATGGAAGTTGTTGGATCTAAGGACGAGAACTTTTAAGTCGGACAAGCTTTTCAAGTGACAAGGAAGGGTGTCGTAATCTATTGTTCCCCAGATCTAATATTAGTAATGCTTTGCAGTTGGCAAGTGATCCAGGCATCCGTCCTTGCAAAAAATTCCCATTCATATGGAGAGTTTGTAAGCTACAACCTTTCCAGCTAGAATGTATTAGGGATAGCACCGAACGGAATGGACGCAGATGATGTGCCAGATCTACTTACAAATCTACCATCTCTATCCTTACGCACATCTACTCTATGCGTCTCATACATATCATCAAGCCTCTGACTGAATGGACCGTAATCATCATATGGTCCACTCTTATTGTCCATCCCAAGCACCACATCCTCATTGGCGTCCTCCTCCTCATCACCATCATCATCTTCATCCTCCTCAGAATAGTGAACCAGATCTCTGCGAGTCGAGACCGAAATACCACGGGATCTAATATGTCTGGGCCCCGAGCTCTCCATTGAGTAGTTTCTACTTCTAATAACATCCACACTCTTCCCCGCATCAGGTCGAAAATGCGATACCTAACTCCATTTAAATAACGAAAAATACTAGCAATCGTTATTATTATTATTATTTATATTAATAATCTATTTTTTTAAGTACAAACAACAAAATTTAGGAATAACTAACCAAAAAAATATCAAATAAACAAAAAAATAGTAACAAATTGACATAGAAAAAAATTACAAAAAACTGAAAAGAAAATATAAACAAAAAAAATACATACAAATGGAAAAAAAAAAACAAAAAATTTAAAAATAAATATAAACATAAAAAAAAATTAATAAAAAAATACAACAGAATTGAAAAAAAATATAAAAATAAACAAAAAAAATATACAAATAACTGAAAAATAAATATAAACATAAACCAAAAAAAAATAAAATCTGAAAAAAAAAATATAGACATAAAAAATTTTAAAAAAAATATATAAAAAATTGAAAAATAAATGTAAACATAAAAAAAAAATCTGAATTTTTTTTTACAAATAACGGGAAAAAAATAATAAAAAAAATTAGTCGGCGTCCCAGCCCCACGGCGGCGGCGGCTGGACAGGATGCCAAGGCCACGGCGGCGGTGCCCACGCAAGACGCCACCACCGTGGCCCTGGCGTCTCGCCCAGCCGCCGCTACCGTGGGGTTGACGTCTTGCTGGGACGTCAGATCCACGGTGGTAGCGTCCTGCTTGGGCGCCGCCGCCGTGGGTTTGGCGTCCCAGCCAAACTCCCCGCCGCTTTGAGATTTTTATTTTTTTTATTTTTCAAATAAAAAATACCTTGCCATCGTGTAACCGCCTTTTCTTCGCTTTCGCTGCCGCCAATTCCTTGCCTTGCCGCCTCGACATTGTAGTTTGAAATTTTTTTTTAGAGAGAGGTGATGAGAGAGTAGAGAGAAGATGAGAGTGTGAGAGATTTTATTTTATTATTATTATTATTATTATTATTATTATTATTTTTTTTTTTACATATAAGGGCTAAAGTGTTAATTCAGCTAAAATTTGTGAGCTTTATGTAAAGATTTGCGGACGATGTTTAGCAATTCACCACTACTATTTTTCCTAATAACAAACATACTAATTCAAAAAACTACCTATTTTATTATATTATCCAATAAATTTCTTTTTAGATTCCCCAATAGTACAAGGAATCTATATTATAATTGCACATCTTTTTCCTAACTTTTGAGCACAACGCTTGAATACTCAAAACACAAATTCTTATAAGTGGCTGACCACATTGTGTGGCCAGCCATCATAAGGGTTACTTCGTCAGTGTTATAGGTGTTACTTGGTCAGTGTTAAAGGGGTTATTTCGTTAGTGTTATAGGGTTACTCGGTCAGTGCTATAGGGGTTACTCGATCAGTATTACAGGGGTTACTTAGTCAATGTTATAGGAGTTACTTTGTTCTTTTATAAGTGGCCACACGATATGGCCAACCACATACACACAAGACGCGCTGAAAAATAAAAATAGTAGAAGTTTTGGAGTTTACTTTTTTAAAAAAATAAATTAAAATCAGAGAATTTTTTCTTAAGAATTTAAGACCTCTATAACACTAAACGCGTAACCCCTATAACACCGACAAAGTAATTCTCATAATAGCTGCCCACACGATGTGGTCGGTCACATATAATATTTAGTCACAATATCAAAACAACTTTCTGTAGTTGAAGTATAATTTTGTTATTAGAGTTTTTTTAATATCTTTTTGTAAAATATATATTTCGTGCATTTTGCACGGGTACGCTCCAGTTAGTTTAAAATAAAATTCATTGTGACATTATAAAAGCTCATAAGAATTATTTTTTTTTAATGAAATTTTTAATATATTGGTCAATATGTATAATAAGGTCATTATGTTAAAATTAGGGTCACTGTGTTCAACATAACGTCGTACTTTAGGTTTACAATAACATGAAATGTCACATAAGTTTTAATAAATGTTACTATGTTAAAAATAAGGTTACTATGTTAAAATTAGGTTTACTATGTTCAATATAATGTCAATTGTGTGTGTATATAAACCCATGTCCAGAAAGTGAGGAATAGCTCAAGTGGTTAGGCTTCCCTCCCAATTTCAGGAGATCTTGGGATCGATTTTCATCTCGCCCTTGTGGCTCTCTAAACACCAAAAAAAAAAAAAAAAAAAACTCATGTCCACAATAATATTATTGTGGACCAGGTCCACGCAAGATTATCTGAAATGTTAATGGTTTTTAAAGACCGAAATATTACATGCATAACATACGACCATATTCTTGCAAGAGTCGTTGAGGAAGCGGAATTGACATCATAAGTCGCTTGAATTTTTCTATGGCCGCTTCTATGGCTACCTTGTACATTTGGGTATTCATAGGGATGTTAATGGGGCAGGTTGGGTCGGGACGGGGCGGATGTTGGCATTCTCATTTCCATTTCCATTCCCGGCTAAAATTTTTATACCCATCCCCGCGACGGATCTAAAATTCATCCCCATCTCCGCTCCGGCGGGTACAATTCCAAAACCATCCCCACCCACCCCCTACTTGGATATCCACTCCCACCTAAGACCCGCCTAATCCCCGCCTCCAAATACACAATCCTACAAAATTAATAAAGATTACAAAATGAAAAATTATTGTTAATATTACACAACTTTTTGTTCATAATATAAGTGTATTACAAATTAAGTACTATATTTACTATTTTATTTTACATAATTTTTTTTTATAAAATAGTATAAAAGTATATAATTTTGTTTTTAAAAATATATGGATGGGGCGGGTGGGGATGGGACGGGTACGAAGTGGGGCGGGTGGGACGGGGTGAGGATGGGGTGGGTACAACCTTAAAATCCACCCCCGCCCCATACCATGGCGAGTATGGTTTTTATCCTCATCCCCGCCCTATCACCCGCCAAACCAAGACCCATCCTCACTTCATTGGGGCAGGAATGAGACGGATCTTCTACTTAACTCGCTCCACTGACATCCCTAGATATTTATATTATTCTTTTATATTAGTGTTTAATCACTATTTTTAGTCGAACCAATTAAGATTTAAAACCAAACCATTTTCTAATATTCTAATCTAAGCTTAGCAATAGATTCTAGGCAGAGTTCAAAAGTCTAAAGAAGGTATTTGATTGACAAGCCACAAATTGATACAGGCATATATCAACCATTTACATATTCTAACAAAATTACTTCTGCATATGATTTTGCTATGAAATACAAGTATGATATGATGAAATAAGTCTAAAAAAAGAAGAAATTTCTCTATCAAATATTTATTTGCTTCTTTTTAACTGAATGTTTAATTTTAACATGTCTCACACATTTCTCTTAAGGGGGTATTTGGTTCATTAAATTGGAATGAATTGGTATGAAATCTCATACTAAAGAGGTATGGATTATTCTAAAATCCATACTAGTCTAAAGTTGTTTGGTTTAAATATTGGAATGGATTATATGGTTCATTAATAGAATGGATTGTGAATTTTAGGGGGAGAGGTTGGTATGGGATACCATAGGCATGGGGTAGAGTTAGAATCCCTTGGGCATGACATTCCATACTCAATAAAAAAGCTAAACCAAACAAAAAAAATAAAAAAAATAGATGGAATGGATTCCAACCCATTCCAAATAATCCAGTTAAATGTAGGGTTGTTCATGGTACGGTTTAGTGCGGTTTAAATCCCAAACCGCACCAAATCAAACAGCACTAATAACCAAACTGCACCGCAAGTGCGATTTGGTGCGGTGCAGTTTAGCCAATTTTTTTTTTAAATTATAAATATTTTTTTTTTTTAAAAAAACTTACTCCTTCCGTCCCCTTTTGTTTGTCACTTTTGAAGGAAAATCACGGGAATTAAAATGGAGAATGTGAAGTAATGAAAATATATGGGAACAACAAATAAAGCAATAAAAGTGCATGGAAAAGAGACATTTCCAATTAAAAAAAGTAATTAAAGTACATGGGAAAGAGAAATTGAGAGATTCCAGAGTGTAAAACATTAAATTAGTCAAAAGTTGGCACAATTTTTATGGCAAATGTTAGGGTAAAATAGGAAGAGGACTCAATGAGAATAAAAAAATGAGGGTATAAAAGTCTTTTTATGTATCTTAATAATAACGAAAATATAAAATGTGACAAACATTTAGGGGCACCTAAAATGGCAAAAGTGACAAACAAAAAGGGACGAAGGGTGTATGTTATTTTGTGATTTATAACTTATAATTCAAATATTAAACTTTTTCTAACCTTTAATTAGCTAATAGTAAAAAAATTACATCATATTTTAAAGTTTTTTAATATATTTTTTTTAATAAAAATAGTATAAAAATGGTCTAGCGGTTTGCGGTTTGACGGTGTAAACTGCAAACCGCATCAAAGTGCTGTTTATGGTGCGATTTGGTCTAATTTTTTTTGAAAACTGCACCAAACTGCAAGTCATTTTTGGAA